ACACACACACACACAGCATACACACAATCACACACACATACACAATCACACACACACACAATCACACACACACACAATAACACACCCCCGCCGCGGCAGCCCCCTGGGTCTCGTCCGCCAGCTGAGAGAGGAAGGCAGGAGAGACCCGGAGGCTGCGCCCAGCCCGCGGAGCCCACCGGCCGTCCCCTCCAGGGTGAGTGCTGCTGCCAGGGTGCCCCAGCATCACCCTGCTGTCGGCGCTGTCACGCTTGCACGGGGCACCTCTGCTGCCCACCAACCCCCGGCCCCGAGGGGGGGTGGAGGGGGGAGGCGACTAGATCCAGGGCACGGGGCTAGGGATGGGGCGGAGAGAGGCAGAGACAGTACTGAGAGCATCCGCCCTTGGAACGGGAATGAGAATGGGACCGTGGATGCGCTTGGGGATTTCTACGAGGATGGGAATTGAGATAGGGACAGGAATGAAGGTAAGGATAAGGTAGAGAATGGGCATGGGACCGAGGATATACGGATGTGGGTGGAGATGGAGACGGTAACAGTGCCGGTGCCGAGGGATCTCGCTGGTCCTGCCTGTCCCGCCGCAGTCCCAATGCCGCGCTACGCCAAGAGCTAAAGGGGCTTGTCCAGCCGCATCACCAGGCGGCCACAGACATTAGCATGGAAATGAGGGGCTTTTGGGACTGACGGCCATTGTGCTCTCCCAGGCTCACCGGCCACCCTCTGGCCTTCATCCCTGCTCCTCCCGCACCTCCGCCGGGCTCACCCTCGCCAGACCAGGGTCGGGGTAGGGAAGGAGGAGCCGGGGGCAGGAGGACGAATGATTGGATGGGGGCTCGGGGGCTCCGCAGCCCATCTGCTGCGCTCCCGCAGCGCCGCTGCCGCCCGTCCGCCCTGGGACAGGGTGGGGGGACGGCTGTCCTGGGTGCCGCAGGTCGCAGCTCGAGGGGGCGACCCGGGACAGGGGCAGAGGAGCGGAGGGAGGCGCAGGGCCCGTCGCTCCGGCCCCTTTGTCCCTGCGCTCCGTCACCCGGGTGGGCGGTGGGGAGAGGTGGCAGATGGCCAGTGGGAGAGGCGGCCCCAGGACCCCTGGGAACCGCGCTGAGAATCGACTCCAACCTACCCCTCCACAACACCGTGGGGAGGTGGGTCAAAAAATGGGTCCGTGGCCAGAGAAGGAGGGATGGTGGTGAGATGTGGGTTACGACCTCGTATTCGGTTTACGTATGCGGAGAGGGAAAGGGGAGGTAAAGGCCGGGCATCCGTCTGTCCCAGCGCACCCGGCCGTCTGCAGGCAGAAAGGACTGCACCAAAAGTCGTCAAAAGAAGTTCTGTAAAACGTCAGCCTGGGAGAAAGATGGATGGAAAGTCATGTCCCCTGACACCTGCCCCAGGAGGGGCTACCCCCTCTATTTCTGCAGGTGCCGACTCTTATGTTCCTCTGCGCTCGATTCTTTCTTGCTTTGAAATCCAAAAGGCTGGTCTACCCCGCCACCGCTGCCCGCTCACTAATACACACACCCACCCATACACGCATCCTCAAGCTCCTCCCTCCCACATGAGCTACAGCATTCTCCTAGGTGCAGAGCTCTCCTACTGCTATTAGGTCAGCCCTTATCCCACGGCATCTGCACGGCCTCTCTAGTGTCAGCCAAAACCGAAGGGCGCCTCTCTCCACCACGCGCCTATCCCGGTGCCCTCAGAATGTCTATTTGTTCTGATTTACTGCGGAGGCAGGGATGGTTAAGGGCCCTCTGGAAAGGTTCCATTTCTTAAACTGCAGGGGGGCTGAGTGGAGGACAAGAGCAACAACACTCCAGAGGCATTTATGGTATTATACTGCGCCAATCTTGGCTATGGTTACGGCTATAAACACATTTATTTCATTCTTGTGAACCAGTTGTGATAAATACTGCATAAAGCAGAGGAAAAAAAACAGCGATTAGGACTGCTTAGTAAAAGGGCTGACATCTTCTCAGTGTTTTTTCCTTCAGAAAAAAAAAAAAATACTACAAGTAGATCCCTTTTATCCGTAAATTCCGATAAATCGCTTTTCTTACTGTCTCCAGCATCCTGAAATCCTTTTTTCTCTGCCTTTTTGGTGCCATTGTCTCTTGTTGCATTGTCTCTCTGGCGGGGCTTTCGGGTTTTGCTGCCCGCACTATGCATGGGAGCAGCACCACGAGAAGGGTCGGAGCAGAGAGGAGGAACACACACCACACCCTCCCTCCTCCGCGGCCGGGCGAGGGGGAGCTACTGCCCCTTCCCCCTGCCCCCAGGCCATCCCGGCCCCTCCGCGCCCCTCCGCGGCTTCGCTCCGCGTTTCCTGCCACGGAACTGAGGCTGAGGGGGCGATCCCGGCTCTTTGGGCTTTTTCGTGGGAGTGTGCCCCCGCTGTGGCCCCAGAGTTCACCCGGAGCCCCGGAGGCTGCTCCTGCTTGCTGAATTCCCCCGTTTATTTAAATGGAGTTTGCGAGAAGTTTAAACCCTGTACCACGTTTCCTTTTTCTTTATTATTTTTATATTTTTGTTTGATGCTTCTGGTTTTTGTTTGGGGTTTGTTTTTTGTTTTGTTTTTTGGGTTTTGTTTTATTGTTTGGGGGGTTTTTTTAGTTCGTTTCGCTTTGGTTTTCTTTAAGCGTTGTCAGCATCCGGAAATCTGGGCACAAAAGAATCCCCAACATCCCCAACCTTACATGCACGTTGCGGTCCAATTTAACCCAGTGGCAGAGGAGTGAAAATGCCGGTGAGGCTGCTCGCTTTCCGCAGGGACATGGCTGGAGCAGAGGGAAGGAGGAAAACCAAGGCCGAGGTTTCACCGCGCCCGCAGCTCAGCCAAGCTGTTGTTTTAAAAGGGCAATAAAAGTGAATTATGACTAAACGCCTTCTCACTTAATGGTTTTAGACGGGGATCCCCAGCCCTGGCAAATACGTAAGAGGATTTTTATTTGTGAATGTGTTCCTGCAATTGATCTCTTTGATGACATTCTCATTCATAGAAAGAGTTTGATTTATGACTTTCGGAAGAATTGCGTTCAGCCCTTCCAGCTATAACCCACGCATCTCAGCTCCACAGCGTGTTCCAGGGCTGGGAGACAACACTGCTCGCACGGATGGACAGCAGAGCCCCGTTCACAAACCCCCAGCCAAGCCCCACTCGCTTCTGCGATGTAAGCACTCTCACTCACTCGCCAGGAGCCGCGAAGGTCCCCGCCCGGATCCCCTGGCCCCAGAGCGGCAGAGCCTCGCTGGCATCTGTTGCTCGGTTTTAGCCCAAAGGACGGGGCTCACCCTCCGCTTAGGGGTTCGGCAAGGCCGGCTGGCAGGCAATTTGGTGGAGATTTCGGAAAGCCCGTCTTTGCCGCCTCCAGCAGAAGTGGGGAGCCCGAGGAAACTGTAACTTTAAAAGTCAGGGTTTCCCCTTTACGTTATGAGTCTCACCTCTCAAGAAGGCTTACAAAGAAAAATATCTTCGGGTCTGCCCTCGCACCGCCCCCGAGAAGGATGGAGCGGGGACGCCGGTTCCTCCCTAAATACTTTTTTCTTCCCCCTGCGTTTCTGCCACCCTTTTGATTTCACAGGCACTAACTTCTCCATTTCCTCTCCTCCTAGGACTGATTTCTTGGATTACTCGGCACGTGAGAAGTAACCAACCACATTCTTCGTGAGCTCTGATAAATTTTAAGATACGTTTTCTGAAATATCTTGCTGGCTGTTAAGCGCTGCTTTCTAGAATAACAGGATTATTTAAAAGAAAACAAAAACAACCAAACCAACCAAACGCCTTTCCTTTCGTTCATGTAACAGGCTGGTTTCTGCAGGAGACGTTTATCCTACTGATTCTCTCTTACGTTATGCCTGTAACAGAGAAAGTCCTCGTTCATGCTTTTGTTACAGCTCAGGATTTTCAAGCTTTGTATCCTCACAGACATAAGATGCCACATTTATATATTAAAAGGAACAAATCTCCGCCAAACCTGTGAACGGTTTTAATTTCTTTAGTTTGTTTTTCCTTCCCTTGTGAGAATCCTTACAATAAAGAAAATGAAAGATGTTTTCCTCTCTAATTAATGTCCTAAATTGCCAGAAGAGAAGAGCTCGTTGTCAGAACGTTGGATTTTGATTATTAGTAAATTAATGGTGGAAGGGATGGGGAGAGAGACCCGTCATGTTATCCATCTTGAAAGCAGAGAGAAAGAGAGGAGAAAGAGAAAGAAAAAAGAGAAAGCTCCTTGTAGCAAACAAGAATTTATTCTACCAAAAATACTTATGACAACGCATCCTAATGCAATACAAAAATAAAAAGAAAGTGAAGATACATTCCTATATGATCACTTTCTTACAGACCTCATATATTGCTTTCTTAGAAGGACCTAGAATGTGGCTAGGTTAAAATTGAACACAACTAAAACTTCATAAGAAACGGCAAAATGGCATATCAGAGGGAAGTAACAAACAGAAAATACTGAAGAGTGCAAGGGAGGGGGAAAATAAAATTAATTCACTGGGGAAAAAAATTAAGAAGAGTAAGGAGGAGGAAAGCAGGACCCTTGGAGAGGACGTCTTAAATTTCTTAGTAATTCAGATGCTGCAAGTCAATTGTGGTGAGTGTGTCTGTAAAAAAGTCAAAACTGTCAGCAGAGATATCTACGGGACTGTCCAGAGATCCTGGCAAACTGGGGGAAACTGCATCTGAAAGCTGTAGGCAGGAATCTGTGGAGAAAACGTTAAAGTCCTGTAAAGAAGGGACATCTAGGGCCTCAGGACTGTCATTGTTCAGGCCAGCTGCACAGTTCTGGGCCATTGTTGAGAGGCAGTTTTGAACAGTGGGTGACTGATGTTGAAAATGTTTCAGATTTTTCTCATTGCTCGTTAAAGGCGAAACGGGGAAAGTTTGGGATTCGCCATTGTGCGCATTCTGCGCCTGCTGCTGGGAGAGGGCATTCTGCTGGAAAGCGTAGCCTTCCCGCTCCAGGAGAGCGCCGGAGACGTTGCTGAGGGCTTGC